GAGCATTAGCTGGTGGCGGGCACGGTGGTGGCAGGTTCAAGTTCTGCCTACTCTAGGAGGGGCTGGACAGCCAATACAGGCTGCCCCAGGGACAGAGCTAGCTTCTGTATTTGAAAAGCAGGGCAAGAGACCCCCTGAAGGTAGGGAGGTGGGCAGGGCTCTGGAGTGGCCTAGGAGTTGGGGGCTTGAGTTCCACCCACCCAGGGAGTGACCAGACAGCTAATAAAGGACCCTCTGAAAATAGGGTAGTGGGTTGGGCTATTGAGTGGACTATGGGATCCATCACTTGACTGGAGAGGGCAGGGTGGTGGTTTCAAGTCCTGCCCCGCCCCCTCAAGAGTGGCAGGATAGCCAAAAGGGGCTGCCCCAGAGACGGAGTTGGCTCCTGCACTTGAAAAGCAGGATAAGAGACCTGCTGAAGGTAGGGAGGTGGGCAGGGTTCTGGAGTGGACTTGAGGATACAGCATTGGCCTGGGGAGCATAGGGTTGGGAGCTTAAGCTCCCCACGCCCACCCTGAAAGCAGCCAGACAGCTCACCCAGGGATGAAGCAGCAGAGCTAAGGCAGGCTTACTCCTGCACTATTACTGAAAGCAGCTGGCACATACAACCATGGCTCCATGTGCTGCCCCTCATCTACAGGCCCCGACTCCACAGCCTCTACTGGCCACAGTTCTCTCAATGAGTGTACAATGTTTGGTGTGCATACTTCAGTGCTCAGACAACAAGGGGGATTTCCCAAAGAGGGGAATGGAGTTGGGGAGAAAGTATCTGTTTTTCTGTCCTTCCAGATCTGCTTTTCCTTCTGCTGGTTGCTTCAGCGAGGAGGTATAGATGACAGAGGGCACTGCACTTTCCAGTGTCTCCTGCAGCAGAATGGGAGATACTACAATATCTGGGTTAAATAACTAAAAACAACCCACTTTCAAACAGTACTAATTCCCCAGTACATGTTGGGTCAGGACAGTGTGTGTTTGTGAGAATGACAGCCACTCAAAGATATCCAGAGAGCAGCCAGATGATAGCAAGAATATTGCCAGACAGCAGCCAGAAAATGGCCTGATGATAGCTGGGCCCTCATCTTACTACACTCTGGCTGTGTCTACACTGGCATGAATTTCCGGAAATGCTTGAAACGGAATACTATTCCGTTTTCAGTTTTTCTGGAAAAGGAGCGTCTACATTGGCAGGCTGCTTTTCCGGAAAAGCCCTTTTTCCGGAAAAGCGTCTGTGGCCAATGTAGACACGCTTTTCTGGAAAAGAGCCCCGATCGCCATTTTCGCAATCGGGGCTTTTTCTGGAAAAGGCTACTGGGCTGTCTACACTGGCCCTTTTCTGGAACAGTGTTCTGGAATAAGGACTTATGCCCGAGTGGGAGCAGAATAGTTTTTCCGGAATAGCGGCTGATTTTGTACAGTAGAGCATCATTGCTTTTCCGGAAATTCAAGGGCCAGTGTAGACAGCTTGCAGCTTATTCCGGAAAAGCGGCTGATTTTTCAGAATAAGTGGCACAGTGTAGACACAGCCTCTGTGCTGAGTCCAGGTGACACACCACCCCCTTCACTGCAACTAAAGCTGAATCCCAGGGAAGCAATTGCTTTTATCAGGTTTTTCACAATTATTCTAACACCTAGCAATCAAGTATGCTTTACCAAGTGTATCTTTTTGTTTTATTAATAAAATCACTTTTAAAAGACTGATCTGATTCTTGTGTCCTAGAAGGTAACAGGAGGTCTGTGTATGCATGCCTAACACACTGATAACTCAGCTATCAGATTGTTGGGATTTTTTTCAAGCTCTCTTGTGATAAAAGAGCTTGGGGTACCCCTTTGGAAGAAGTTTCCAAGTGAATCTTCCTGGGTTCAAGAAGAAAGGTGTCTGCCTCCCTCCCCAACTTGGGTAGTGGTAGCATACGTTCCAAGGTCAGGGAATCTGTGTTTTTAAAACAGAAGCTTCTACCTAGCGGCAAAGTATCTGTAAGGTCTCTTGTGGGCTTCCACCTTCTGCACTCAAAGTGCCAGAGTGGGGAACAGCCTTTACACATAAATATTGCTGAAAACTCCATGCCTTGTTCCTGGCTCAATTCATGTCTCTCAACTCTCCCCTGCTCATGCAAAGACTGCAGCAGGAGGGTCCTGCTTTTTAATAATAAAAAAAAAAACCCACCATTTTCATTGGCTCCCTGCCAACACTTCTCGGAGACTCTCAGGGGAGATCTACACAGTGGGGCTAAAGTTGAATTAAGCTATGCAACTTCAGCTATGACAATTGCATAATTGAAGTCAAAATAGCTTAATTCAGTTTTTGGCGCTGTCTACACAGCAGGAAGTCAAAGGAAAAACACTTTTCCTTCAACTTCCCTTACTTCTTGTGAAATGAGGGTTACCATGAGCCAGAGTAAGAAATCCTCCAGCTCAACATTATTTCGAAATAAAGGCTTGTAGTGTAGACATGCACTATGTTATAACATCAGTAATTCTGAAATAACGTTGCTGTGTAGATGTACCTCTAAAGACCTACTGTCTCTCGGTTTAACTCTTACAGGCAATCTTGTTTACTGACTAGTTGGGATGTCCAGAAAAGGGTAGTATCCCCATTCATCACAATGTTGGTTTTGACAGGATACATCAGATGGCCCCAGAAACAAATGATTTTTGTTTAAAACTTATGGCTAATGCTAAGAATGAAGAGTTTGTTGAACGAAAAAGTGTTGCTAAACTAAAGCGTGAAAACTGGCAGTCAAATACAACTACAGTCATTATGGGAGTGAGTTTTGAGCTGCCCCCATGCTATCAGGCCTGCTGAAGAAGCAAGCTAGCCAGATGGATTAAAGCAGGACAGGAAGTTGAATGCTGACCCAAAACTGGGCATCCCCCGATCCCAAGGTGGAAACCATGAAAAAAGTTTCTTCTCTTCTACAGAAACAGAGCTAGAAAAGGGGCTCTCTTAGATGTTGGGAGAGGGAGCAGCTGGAAGGTGGTCTTTTGGGAATGACACATTCGCTTCATCCGGATCCTTTGCTTCATTAATAAGGATCCCCAGGAGCAAATGCTTCTGAAATGGAATTCTGTCCAGAATGCACGACGGCAGCCATTTGCTTTCTTTAAAATTATGACTATACTTTATTTTGTAAGTTTTTACAAAAAATTATACAAATTGTGTATTTTCACATCATTGTACATTTGACTGTGATTATTCATAAGTGGTCCTTGTTAATACAAATAAACTATGTACCATTAAAAGAAATAACTGCCTAAATAAGCCTGAATTTTAGGTACCAAGAAAGGGGTAAGAGAAAGGGATATTTCTTATTTCCATGAGACCCTGCTACCCTCCAGCAAATTCCCAACATAAGCTATTATATATAAAAGATTTCACTCACTTTACCTTCCAATGTATGGAAAAATACAAATACTGAAAAGGGAAAAGAGTTTAAAAAGGGACAAAAATGTTAATACAGTATCTATTCTGCTGCAGACCTCTAAGCCTGCAATACTTAAAACTATAAATGAACAATACAGTGGAATTAGTTCTTTGGGTTCAACCATTTTACTTAACAAAAGCAAAGGCCAAAAAGATATAATAAAATTTAATAAAATTACAAGTCTAAGGCCCACATTATCTCTATGCCTCTCCACTCTATCTCATCACATTTTATAAGAAAGGGTAACAAGTTATTGCTCAAACAGATTTAAAATCTGAAGATACAACAATGAAGTACGGGGGCCAATTTTTTTTTAATTAGATATAGACTCTTCCCCTCTAGCTATGTCCAAGGAACCCTAAGCCTGTAAATGGCTGCAGCAGTCTTGGGGCTGGATATATACTCCCCAGAAGTCGGTCAACAACTAACAGTCAGGCTGGCTCCCACAAACACACAGCACCCCAATGATGATCCCAATGATTGCTGACTTAGCAGAAGGGAAAAATAAGCCTCATACCAGTAGCTACCAATAGGAAGGCATGCCACCGCTAACTTACTACAGTCAGGAACACCTCATGATCACTATTTGTCTGGGAGGCCCTGAAAACATATTACCAAATGTGCCCTTTGATGAAATGCCCTGGTGACAAGAGTGATCCCTAAAAAAGAGTTTCCATTGCAAGTTACTGGCAGCCACAGGTATTTATTTCTTGATGTGGAATAAAAATAAAAATTAGATCAGTGTAGCAGCATCCAATCCAACGGCAGTTGGAGCATGTGGCAGGAAGTCACACTTTCTGGGTGCTCACAATATCATTCAGTTTTCCCTTAATCTTCAGGAAGTGCCTCTTGAACTCCAACCCATCACCCTAGGTAATAAAAACAAGTTTATTTTGTGGACTGTATGCATGTATAAATAGAAGAATGGGAATGCTGTAACTCCTGCCTATCTGAGGGACATTGGCTTCTATTCTAGATATTTAATTTTTTTTCTTTACAATCTTTATGTTCATTATTTATAATTAGTTAGCAAGAAATTCTACCACCACCTCCACTATTGTTATATGAATTGTATTACTTTTATAATCTTTTACAAAAGGTTTCTATTCTTGCCACTTCAGAGACAGCCATTGTGGATTTTCTCCAAATTAGGGTGCAGCACATATTCTTCTGTTTAAGATTTAAACATATTTTAATTTTATCTTTCAAGAAAGGAAATATGAAACATGGCAAGAAGACTTCCCACCTCTACTATTATGCTCTTAACAGCTTGTTCCAGTCATGACCTAACCAATTTCATAGATTTATTTTTCATGCACACATTTGAAAGTGCATTGATGAGTATTTTCCATAGAAACAAAATAATCTTAAAAAATTCTCTTTGAAATAGCAAACAAATCAATCTATTACTGTTAATTGTCATTAGAAGAGGCAGAAGCTGGAGGTCTCTGCCTCACTTGCAACAGTCTATTCTATACCATTTGCCTAGATATGAGCATCTTTAATATTAGGCTAGGTCTGTTTCACAGAATCACAGATAAGTACTACTGGAATGAATCTCATGAGGTCATCTAGTCCATTCCCCTACACTCAAGACAGGATGCTTAACCTTTTCTCAGAAAGTTATTATCCATCTCTCTCAGTGAGACACTATGGACCAAGTTTATGGCACAGGGAGCCCCATGCACACCAACAGTCGTAATACAGCTGTAGTTTTGGCAGACAGTTCAGCTAGTGTCTGCTGAGCTTCCACAAAAGTTGCCCAACTGTAGTCATGCTTTGTCCCCCACCATAGTAAGTATAAACAGAGCTGATTGGAGAAAGGGAATAAAGCTAGCTACACCTTCAAGGGCTTGATGCTGCTTCCATCGGAGTTCATAACTATTTTTCCTACTGATTTCCATGAAAGCAGGATTACGCCAGCCCAGCATGCTTCCCCAGTGCCCAGAAATCATTATGCTTTAGACCAGTGGTCTCCAACCTTTTTATACCCAAGATCATTTTTTAAATGTCAGGACAAGCCAAGATCTATCCCATCCCTTCCCCAAGACCCTACCCCTTCCTTGAGGCCCGTCCTCTCTGTTCCTCTTCCCTCCATCACTTGCTATCCCCGGACCTTATACACTCTCAGGGTATGGATACACTGCTGCTTTTTTTCGATCCTTCTGTTGGAAGAAATTTTTCCAACATTTGGCCTGTCCAGACTAGGCCAAATGTCAGAAAATCCCCTTTTTTTGGAAGCCCCCTCATTCCTTGTGGAATGAGGAATATAGGGGCTGCCAAAAGAGTGTGTTTGCTGGAAAAACTCCTGCAGTCTAGCCTCACTGGGTTGAGACAGGAGGTGCGGGCTCTGGGATAGGAATGAGGGATATAGGGTGTGAGAGGGTGAGAGGTGCAAAGGGTGAGGGATTTAGGGTGGGAAAGGGTGAGAGGTGCAAGCTCTGGGAGGGAATTTGGATGCAGGAGAATATGGAGAAGGGGCTGCTGGCTCAGGGAAGGGGCTCCAGGCTGGGGAGTGTCGGGAGATCTACCCCTCCCCTTCCTTGAGGCCCCACCCTCTCTGCTCCCCTTCTCTTCAGCATTTGCTGTCCCCAGCCCTTACTCACTCTCACTGGGTTGATACAGGAGGTACAGGCTCTGGGATGGGAATGAGGGATTTGTGCGTGGGAAGGAGTGAGAGGTGCAAGCTCTGGGAGAGAATTTGGGTCCAGGAGGAAGTGGAGAAGGGTATACTGGCTCAGGAAGGAGGCTCCAGGCTGGAGAGTGTAGGGATTTGGGGAAGGTTGGGGTGCTGAGCAAGCCCCTAGTTTGTAGATGTGAGGGTGCAGGAGTTTGGGTTGGGGACATGAGAGGCTCAGGAAAGGGGGTTCCAGTGTATGATAAGCTCAGGATGGGATCTGGGTGTGCGTGTGCGCGCACAGGAATGTTATGATGCTGTGGCCAGATGAGGGGTGGGCCCCAATTGGGGGCTTGTTGGCCAGGCTTCATTTTTAAATAAAATATTATGTCAAACAAAAGATTTCAGCATTGTCTTTATTTATGAGAGGGGCGAGGAAACTGTTTTGAGTCAGGGGTCACGGACCCACAAAAAAGTCAGCCTGGGCCACACAAGGGAGATACAAAAATACAACCCCTCGAGCCTCACTAATGTGGCCCCAACTGTGCTGGTGGTGGCAGGGGACAGAGTGCTTATGGGTGCTGGGACAGGGTGCCAGGGCAGGGGTCTGGGGCAGGAGACAGGGTGCTGGGGCAGGAGACAGGATGCCGGGCCAGGGTGCCAATGGATGCTGGGGCAGGTTGCTTGTGGGAGCTGGGGCAGGAGACAGAGTGCCAGTGGGTGCCAGGGCAGCGTGCTGGGCCAGGGTGCCAGTGGGTGCCGGGGCAGAGGCCTGGGGCAGGAGACAGGGTGCTGGTGGATGCTGGGGCAGGGTACTTGTGGGAGTCCGGGTGGGGAGACGGGACAGGGATCGGTGCTGGGGATCCTGCAGCTGTGCGCTAAGGCCCAGGAAATGCGCGGGCTGCTCCCTCATTCTCCAAACAGCAGCCCAGTACCTGAAACGCTGGTCTGTCGAGCACCTGATGCCTTCCTGCATGGGGTGGGAACAAAGGGAGTCCTGGATCGCATCAGCTGGAGCTGGCGCACTAGAGACTTTATTCCCCTGCTGCCTTCCTGCGGGGGGGGGGAGGAGTCCCAGACTGCACCAGCCCCAACCACTTGGGCAGTGCGTGTTTTGCTCCTCCACTCCCTAAAGCAGCGCATGCCACCTGAGCAGCTGGAGCTGGCGCAGTCCCAGACCTCCATCCCCTTCCCCATGCGCAGGAAAGCAGCGGGGGAACAAAGAACCTAGTGTGTGACGGACCGACAATGCCTTCTCCCATAGTACTTGAAGACTCAAGGTGCTTGCTATCCACAATCATTAACTGGAAAGAGGATTTCCAGACAGTGAGCAGTAACAGCTTTTGCACTGCATTCAGTACCAGAGCCCAAGTTTCAGGAACCAGTGAAATAGTAACATTGCTCACTTCAATTCTGTAATAGAGATGTAGCCGTGTTAGTCTGGTCTTGCTGAAACAAAAGACAGGACTATGCAGCACTTTAAAGACTAACAAGATGGTTTATTAGGTGATGAGCTTTTGTGGGCCAGACAAACATCCACACCAACTAACACCTTAGAAGACTTTTGTTCCACCAGACAAGAAGTCTACTATACACACTTCTATTCTCTACAACAAAGAAAAGAGAATAAACTTTCTAAACTGCTCCACACCACAGGCTACAACAGCAACTACCTCAACCCACCGGATAATATTGTTAACCTCTCTAGCTACAAACTCAACCCAGAAGAAGAGTCTGTTTTATCCCGGGGTTTCTCTTTCTGCCCCACCTCTCCCACGAACTGGATTCAGTTTTGTGGTGACCTTGAGACTTTCTTTCACTGCCTCCGCCTATGAGAATATTTCCAAACTACCAATAAACATCAATCTGACCAACCAGATCCCCCCCATCAACACCAAAAGAAAAATAATTCTATATGGACTCCCCCTGACAGTTGGAATTACCATCTGGATTTCTATATACAAAGCTTCTGCAACAATGCACAGACTGACATTATTCACAAACGACAACAAGTGACATACAATCTCAGCCGTGCTAAACACTATGCTATCCAGAGTCTTAAAAACAACCTGGACATTATAATCAAACCAGCTGACAAAGGGGTGACATACCCTGTTCAAAATGAGTCTGAGGTTATGTCTACACAAGAGTCTTATTTCAAAATAACTGGCATTATTCCAAAACAACAAAGAGCACATCTATATAGCAAGCCATTATTTCGAAATAATGGCGAGCCAAAGAACTTCATACTCAATGCCTGTAAACCTCATTTCACAAGGAGTAAGGGAAATCAAAGGAAGAGTGTTCTTCCTTCAGCTTCCTTCTGCATAGATAGCACCAAAAGCCAAATTAAGCTATTTTGAATTCAGCTACACAATTGATATAGCTGAAGTTGCATAGCTTAATTCTACTTTTGCCCTGCTGTGTAGATGTGCCCTGAGTGTCATGAGGGTTACTTTCTTTGGCATTATCTCTTATTTACTTTTTAATTTTAAGCTCTTAGGCAACTATCAAAAAGGGCCTCCTCTAAGTTTTCCTAACTCGGGGTCTTGAAAGTATCCCATCTCATTTTAGAAGTCTGTCATATGAATCACATCTAGGAGTTGATAGCCATTCCCACTCTAGTCCCCGTGCTAGGAGATTACTTCATCTAAATATACTACAATGATTTGTCTCCACTAGAATTTTTCATCAAGATAATTCTCTCAAGTTACCAGATATAAAACCTTTTCTTTTTAAGTAGAAGGCACAGCCTAATGCCATAAGAGTATCGTTTTATATTATGAAAATAAAAAAATAACAAGTTTTCAATTTCTATTACATGCTATAAGACTTGATATTCTCATTTGGGGATGCTAGATGCATCTGTGAGATATAAGCAAGCTAAGCAATGTTTGAACGTGGTCCTGAGAAATTTAGTTTATGGTTCGATTTAATTTTATAAATGTATACACACCAAATACTCTAGTTATCCATAAATACATACATGTAAACAAATATTTCTGTAACAATTTGCTAAATAACCATTTAAAACTCCAATCATAATGAAAAGAAATAATTACCATTCTGCTATTTTACCATGGGCAAATTATAATGATAACCTCTGCAATTAAACCAAAACTTCATTAAAGTGCTTCTCATTAACATATGAAACATTTTATTATAATTATCTGACTTTTATATAAGGAATTGAATTAATGTTTTAATAAACCATTTAAGTTTAGCCGAGATAGTTCTGAATGACAAACAATGTAATAGCTAAATTTAAATGCATATTTTAATTGCCCATCACATTAATTCTTTTGCAGTGAAATCATGAAGGCAAGTTATTCCCATTATTTGTTCTTTGTTCATAGCAATTAAACACCTAAGATTCTTTTAGAGTAATGTTAACACAGTCTTACTTACAATTACTAGTGCTGCATTCATTTATGTGTAAAATAACTGATAGAGTATTTTGTAGTGATATGCAATGTCTTTGTTCCAACTATACTGCTGGGTGAACAAAAAACTGAAGCATATAGCTACTGCCCGATTGGGTGGTGCACTGGTCCATTAGGTGCATCATGAGTCATGCTGCAGCATCTCCTCAGGAAAAAGCAGTATTCCACAGAACAGCTGTGAAATTGAGGTTCAAAAGTAGGTCAATGAAACAAAGAAACTCCCTACAACTCACATTCATAGATAGACATATTTGGCATTATCCATTTAGTCAATCTATACCTGAATTATTATGGCCCCAATCCTGCAAAAATCACTATGAGGCAATATATCTACCTATACAGACCTAGGATTTGTCACCCATGTGCTCATGCTGCAAAGCTCTCTTGGGATATTACTCAAGCCAATTTTGCTTCAGTTGAATGCAGCGGTTTGCTCACATGTATCACAATTCAGTTTAAGGGTCTAAAATTAAAATTACTTGACCAAGAAAAGATCAATACTTGAATTATCTACATCTCACCAAACCAACAAATAATGTGTAGTGATCACATCATTCAGAAATCACATTTTTACATAGTCAGCCTTAAAAAACTGTTCAGGTAGAGAACAGTTACAAGAGAACCTACATGAAAAAAATTGTTCTCTTTCTGATGTGAACTTTGTTCCTCTCAACATACTCTGTATCAAATAACAAGAGTACTGGCATAGCTAAAGATGAAACTAGATATAGGGTGTCTGGAATTCGATTCATTAGGTAGTAGGGAATAAGCTAGCACAAACAATATCTAGATAGTTTTTCTGAAGATTGTATATAATTGATTTTTTTAAACTATTTACCATAGCTGAGGATCTTCTGAATCTTTACTCCAGGAATCCCAACTCTGGGTATGTCTACACTACCCTCCTAGTTCGAACTAGGAGGGTAGTGTAGACATACCCATAGTTATTAATCTCCCACCCTCATCCGCTCTCTGTTCTAAAATCTGATTTGTCTATTTTATATGTGTGCACTTTTTTTTTTTAAATTATATCCCTTTGATATATATGGTCATGCCAATTTTCTTCCACAATTTGATCTGAGGAAGTGGGTCTGGCCCACGAAAGCTCATCACCTAATAAACCATCTTGTTAGTCTTTGAAGTGCTGCATAGTCATGTCTTGTGTTTCAATTCCGTAGGTTCTCTCTTTGGTTAGACATAGACTACCAACGCAAGAACCCCTTTTCCATAGGCTTGTTGTCATATGCAAGCTGATCCAGTTTACTTTTAAACACTCACCCCTCTAATGGTAAAGTCCATTGGCTTATTTTGCATACCTTAGAAAGGCGGAAATCCACCAAAATCTTGTCTTCCATTTCTACCAAGTTCACCTTGAAAATTAGTTTATTATTCCTTCTATCAGTAGTTGATATGGTAACCTTTAAAGCAAATGAGAGAACATTTTTATGACAACAGGTTTCACATACTACGAGCATGTATGTATTATATTCACAGTATACCAGTGTTTCTGAAACTTTTTAAGACCAAGGAACACCAATTTTTTTTTTTTAAATGAGGAACACCAAGGATTTTTTGTTGGGGGGAGCGGGAAGTTATTGAGAAAAAAAGAGAAGGTTCGGGGGGGCACAGAAGGGTCGGGGGAAAGTTATTGAGAAAAAAAAAGGTTGCCTGCCCCTTTAAGGGTGCCCATTTTGAATTCTGATGTTCTCCGTGGCACATCAGTGTGCTGTGGAACATAGTTTAAGAAACACTGCAGTATACTAATAGCTACGCTAAAGGAGTCTGACTAGGGATTTCATGTACAGATCTTGTGCTGGTTCAGAAAATGCTACATCTGACTACAGGATATTTTATAGGATTTGCAAATGGAATCAGAAGCATTAATTTGTTTAATTCCATGGACTCTACCTGGTTTGTGCAGCTTTTCTTCCAGACATAGCCCATCTTCTCACAGACCTCCTTCAAACTATTATAGGAGTGGTCAGCATCCAGCTTTGTAAAGAAACGGGTCATTCTCTTCACCAAGCGTTGCCATGGGTTCTGCAGATTAGAGATCAGATATATGAATTCTACAGATAACCAACTACCTTTCTTGGCTGAAAGTTTGGATAACACTCCTTTAATTTACTTGGATTTAAAATTAGGATAAAGTATCTGAAATGGTGTAAACTGAATCTTTACAGTCTGGAGCCAAAGAACAAAATTGCCAAGCTGCTGTGAACAAATACAGCGTTTTCAAATATTACCTGTGATGAGCCTGGGGTGCCAAGTAATTGACTATTAACTAGCATGTGCTCAGGGCATGCTGGCTGGGAGAAGCTGATCCCTTGCACTAGTTCGTTGATATTGGTTGGACTGCTGTCCCACAAGGAAATGCCAGTGCGAGGTTCTGGCTGAGAAGTGGAGTACCCCACTTTTTCTTCACTGAAACATGAAAACGTAATTAATTACAATCATTGTAATGTTACATTTCTCTTGTGATTTTCACACTGATGTAGCCCCCACACACTTTACACACAACACGAGGGGTTCCCAAACTTTTTGCTTGAGTGACTGCAATTTTGAAACTTACTTGTCAAGGGCTTCCTTTAACTCCAGACAGCAACAAAAAACAACTAAGCAATCCAAGGAATTTACGTGTTATTTAATGCTCTCAAGTGACAGATGAGCTTTCATATTGTGACAGTTCCTCAAAGTCCAACAGCATGATAGAAATTGTGCATCCAATCTCTGACATGCCATCAGCAGTAGCTCAGTGTGATCAAATATCACAAACAGATCTGATTTCTTTGCACAGTTTTGCAAATATACATGCATGGAAGTTAGGTTGCATGGTAGATCACGACAGATAAATGTCAACTAGCTTTGGATTCAGACCTTTAAATACCAGTTGCTCTCTGTGAATCATGCAGTGAGTCAACCAAGTAGACTGAGCAAGAGGGGGTTACTTACCTTGTGCAGTAATGGAGGTTCTTCAAGAAGGTTATCCCTGTGGGTGCTCCACCGTAGGTGTTCGGATGCCACTGCGTGCCTAGGTGGAGATTTTTAGTAGCAGTGCTCTTGGTGGGCTGCGCAGGCCACTACTATGCATGTGCAGCAACCATCCCTTCAGTTCCTTCTCTGCCCTGGAAGGAGAACCTAACAGTTCGAAGCGGGGTGGGGGCGGGGGGGAAGGAAGCACAAGATGAGTAAAAGGGAGACAGGTTGCCTGGAGCCGCAGCTCAGAGCCTTGAAAAACAGTTTCCCCTGTTGGGGCATGTATAGGAGGCGTCTTGAAATGCTCCCGCCTGAGTGTGCTAGCTGCACAGCTCAACCTCTCCCTTTCAGTTCCTCTTTTAGGCCCAAGACAGACAGACTCCAAGCAGAAGGGAGGGCTGTGGAGCACCCACGGGGATACACATCTTAAAGAACAGCTGTTACTGCATGAAGTGAGTAACTTCCCTTTTCTTCTTCGAGTGATGTCGCCATGGATGCTCCAGTGTAGGTGACTACAGAGCAGTATTCAATCCGGGTGGAGGGAGTTGGAGTCACTGTTTAGCGGCGGTGGACAAAACTGCTGTAGCCACTGCTGAATCAGAAATGAATTGTGTTAAGATGGCACAGTGTTTAGTGAAAGTGTGGTCTGATGACTATGTGGCAGCTTGGTAAATGTCTCTTAAAGGACATTGTTAAAAAAGGCCGTGGAAGCCGCTGTAGCTCTAGTAGAATGTACTCACGGTGGATGGTTCATTGGCCAGAGTATGACATCTAACTATGCATGTCGATATCCATTTTGAGATACGTTAGGATGAAATAGATGCACTTCTTGAGTGTTCAGCCATGGAAATAAAGTAATTGAGATTTACAAAATGGTCACGTTCTCTCCAAGAAGGCTAATACTCAGATATCTAGAGTATGTAGGCTAGCATCTTGGTGTGAGGCTTTGCGGAAAAAATAGGTAACACAATGGGTTCATTCATGTGGAATGCTGTATAGACTTTTGGTAAGAACACTAGGTGAGTCTCAGCATGACTCGGTCTTCTGTGAAAACCATGTATGGGGGTTCCGCCATAAGGGAAGTTCCCCTTCTCTCCTCACTGAAGTGACGGCTAGCAAAAAGCAGACTTTCATAAAGAGGAAGGGGAGTGCCACTGTGGCCAGTGGTTCAAAGAGGGGCCTGGTCAGATAACCCAAAACAAGGTTCAAGTCCTATAAGGTGGGGTGGGGTGCTATGGGGTGGATATACGTTGTGGAGGCCTTTAAGAAATCTTTTTGTGACAAGATGAGCAAATATGGAGAAACCAAGCACAGAGGTGTGAAAAGGAGGAAGTTACTCACTTCGTGCAGTAACGATGGTTCTTCGAGGTGTGTCCCCGTGGGTGCTCCACGTCTGGTGTCGGGCTGGTCCCAACGCCGCAAATCGGAGCTTGCCAGAGCTGTGTGTAAGTGGCCGGACTGCGCGCGTACGAGCCGGTTTTGCGCCTTTCATCTGCCGCGCACAGTCCGGCGCCCGCCAGTTCATCTCACCGCCTATCTGAAAGACTGAAAGACAAGATTCTGAAGCAGGGAGGAGGGCGGGTCGTGGAGCACCCACGGGGACACACCTCGAAGAACCATCGTTACTGCATGAAGTGAGTAACTTCCTCTTCTTCTTCGGGTAGTCCCCGTGGGTGCTCCACGTCTGGTGACTCCGAAGCAGTAATCTCAGTTAGACGTGGGCATCAGAATCGGGATTCTGAACACTAGGCAGCACTGCCAAGGCTACCGCTGAGTCAGAGGAGAAGTGCTGAACAATTGCATAATGCCTTGCAAAGGTGGAAGTAGAAGACCAAGTCGCCGCTCGGCAGATGTCCCGCAGAGGGACTCCTTTCACGAAAGCTGCCGACGTAACAACTGCTCGTGTCGAGTGGGCCCTAGGTTGCGACGTGAGCGGCTTCTTACAAATAGTATAGCAAGTTGTAATACAAGAGACAACCAGTTTAGAAATACGTTGAGCAGATAGACTCTCATCCTTAGAAGGCCCTGAAGTCGAAACAAAGAGTCGATCCGTTTTACGCAGAGTACGGGTTCTATCTATATAGAATGCCAAGGCTCTACAAACATCGAGGGTATGCAAAAGGGCATCATGCTGAGAGGTATGAGGTTTTGGATAGAAACATGGCAAAACGATTGGCTCATTTATATGAAAATCTGTGCCGACTTTAGGCAGAAAGGCTGGATGAGTCCTCAGTATCACTGATTCTGCGTTAAAGACTGTATAGGGAGGCGTTGACATCAAAGCAGCTAATTCGCTCACCCTACGTGCTGATGTTATGGCAAGAAGAAAGAGTACCTTCATTGTAAGCATCGACATGGGTACCGTGGCCAACGATTCAATCAGTGGTTGAGTTAGGACATCAAGCACCAAATCAAGACTCCATGCAGGTGGCGGAGGCCTACGCGGTGGGTTAAGGTTAGCCAGTCCTTTGAGAAATCTAGTCATCATCGGATGGGAAAAAACCGACTTGCCTTCAATGGGATAGTGAAAAGCAGCTATCGCCGCCACATGGTCTTTAAGTGATGAGATGGAGAGTCCAGTCGTGGTTGAGTTAGGACATCAAGCACCAAATCAAGACTCCATGCAGGTGGCGGAGGCCTACGCGGTGGGTTAAGGTTAGCCAGTCCTTTGAGAAATCTAGTCATCATCGGATGGGAAAAAACCGACTTGCCTTCAATGGGATAGTGAAAAGCAGCTATCGCCGCCACATGGTCTTTAAGTGATGAGATGGAGAGTCCAGTCAACTGTAGCTGGAGGACATAGTCCAGTAAAACATGTAGTGGTAAAACAAGAGGGTCTAGAAGCGCACCAGCGCACGAACCTAGACCACTTGGACCGGTAAGTTTTCCTGGTGGAATCCTTCCTGCTGTGTAAGAGAACACGCTTCACCTGGTCCAAACAAAGATTCTCGGACGCGCTGAACCATGCACCATCCACGCAGTCAGGTGCAGAGTATCCAGCTTCGGATGAAGAAGGGAGCCTTTCTGTTGCGTGAGCAAGTATGGTAGGTAAGGCAATCGGTGCGGTGGTCATACGGAGAGCTGCAGAAGAGTTGAGTACCATGGCTGTCTGGGCCAAGCTGGGGTTATGAGTATCACTCGTGCCCTGTCCATCACGATCTTCTCGAGTACTCTGGGAATGAGTACAACAGGGGGGAATGCATACAAAAGCGATGTGCCCCAATGAAGGAGAAATGCATCTCCCAGAGAGTGATCGCCCAGTCCTGCTCTGGAACAGTAAGCTCTGCATTTCTCATTGGCACACGTGGCGAACAGATCTATCACCGGAAAGTCCCACCGATGGAAGAGAGGTAAGAGGACATCCGTGCGGATCACCCACTCGTGGTCTTGAGAGAAATGCCTGCTCAGCGCTTCCGCAGTGGTATTGTTCGCACTCGGTAAGTATGACGCGACTATAAAAATGTTATTTTGAATGCACCAGTTCCAGAGGCGGATCGCTTCTGCACAAAGTGAATGGGATCGGGCACCCCCCTGTCTGTTCACATAATACATCGCCACTACATTGTCTGTGAGAATTCTCGTGACAGTGCCTCTTATGTGTAACTTGAAGTGTCTGCAGGCACGAAACACCGCTCGGAGCTCGAGAAGGTTGATATGGAGCATCATCTCCGTCGTGGACCAACGGCTTTGAACTGTTTTTGCGCCCATGTGGGCACCCCAGCCGATGAGAGAAGCGTCTGTGGTTATCTCCACTGACAGCTGTGGAGTGTGAAAGGGGACTCCTGACAGCATGTTGTTGCGATCGGTCCACCATAAGAGGGAGTCTTTAACATGTGCCGGTAGCACCACGGTCTTGCGGATGCTGTGCCTGGTTGGATTGTATACCGTGTTTAGCCAGTGCTGTAGACACCTGAGGTGTAGCCTTGCGTGGCGGACTATGATTGTAGTCGACGCCATATGACCCAGAAGCTGGAGGCATACGTGTACCGGGAGCGTTGGAGCTTGCAAGACTGTTTTTATCAGGTCTTGCATAAGTTGAAAACGCACGACTGGCAGATGAACTTTTTCTGACTGGAAGTCGAGACACGCTCCTATGAAGTTTAGAATTTGTGTTGGTTGCGGCCGTGATTTTTGAATGATCACAATAAGGCCAAGGGAGTCGAACAAATCCCAAGTTGCGACCACCACGTGATGTGCTTCGGACTGGGTGTGTCCCTTGATGAGGCAGTCATCGAGGTAGGGGAAAATGGAGATTCGTGTTCTGCGTAGATGGGCAGCCACTACCGCCAGCATTTTGGAGAACACCCTTGCAGCTGAGATGAGGCCGAAAGGCAGTACCCTGTACTGGAAATGGTCGTCGCCCACTACGAATCTCAGAAAACGCCTGTGTGCTATGTGTATTGTCACATGGAAATATGCGTCTTGCAAATCTAGGACTGCGAACCAGT